AGCAAACGCTGAATGCTTTAAAGCCTTACTTAACTGGCTGCTCTTTGAGTTAGGATGGTTGTCTGATTTCAACTCTTGCCTTCTGCAGTGTTCCCCAAAGTGGGTTACCTGTTCTGGAATTGCCTTATTCTCATTTCCAGGCTTCCTGTGTTTCTTTACCTTCTTGTGAGGAAAACTTTTCCACTTCTTGCAATGATTCCTGGTAGTTACCTATGACCATTTGCCAAGCAAAGTTAGTAGTTACTCTCACTGGATGAACACATTAAAAAAACCAAACCAAAACAAAAAAGTCTACCTTTTAATTTTTTTAGATGTTACATTTTATAGTAGCATTTCACTCTTCCCCTGTTACTTAAAGCTTTTTGCTTTTTTCCTCTAAGGCTTTTAATATTTAATGTAATTAATAAAATATTGTGAGCATGGTGTACAATTGTGTACATAACATTAAATAACAGGTGCAACGAAAGTATAATCTCAGTTATACTCTTGCAATTTTATTTGGGAACTGGGTATTCTTAAACACTTTCCATCAAACATGTATATGTAAAACTTAAAATGTGTTAATATCTCTATAAAAAGGAAGAAAATCTTCAAACAACTTTTAGCTGTAACACTTGTCAGACTTGTCAACTATTTCTAGTGTCTTGCAGGACATTTGTGTTCATAGATAACCTCTCATCCTGGACTTAATTATTTACAAAAGTACGTGTTCATCATGCAGATTGTGTTATTTCAGACCTAAATCTCTGAGTTCCAGATGATCTGGCATTTTTTCTATTGTGAGGAAGAGACATTTCCTAATTAGAGAGGAAAAGGTTTATCGCTTCACTGTAGTTATGCAACTGCAGTCTGAAGCAGAGCTTTGCAAAGAGGAAATGCTCTTCCTCCTTTTGTTTCCTATTTTATTTCTCCGTGAATAACTGTTCCTTCACCCCACTTGGTTAGCTTAGAAGTTCTGATTCACCAGAATGGTCTGTTCTCTAAATGTTTGCTTAAAAAGGAAAAGCATTCTGAGTCTGCTTTTAGGAATATGTTTAAGTAATGTTCGTTCTTCTGTTCAACAAGTGTTTGCATTGCTAGGCATTTAAAGGATAGAGACGTCATCTTTCAAGCAAATCCTTCACTAATTGTTTCTATGAACCACGGTTGTTGTTTATTTAAATAAGGGAAGACACTGCCCAGCGTCACAGTGTTTTATTTGGCTTTGATTTTTCCATTCCTGCTGTCTGTTGAAGACCGATAGCTTGGGTAATTCCAAGTTTGATATCTTACCTTTACATTTTCTTGTCTGTTTCTCTTTGAAGCTCTCATTGACGTCACTGCTGCTGCTTCACTGATGAAATTAACTTTGTTCTCAAACACAAAGTAGGTACTGGATCATTTATGTACTCTGTAAACTGCAAAGTGCCTGGCTTCCTATAGAACAGTCCTTCTTTGTGTATGTAAATGAATTGTAGGGCTCTCCCTCTATTGAAGAGAATTGTTAAGGTTGGGAAATGCCTCTAAGATCATATAATCCAGCTATTAACTCAGCACTGACAAGTCCACCACTAAACCATATCCTTAAGCAACACATCTACACATTTTTTTGAATACTTCCTGGGATGATGATTCAACCACTTCCCTGAAAAGCCAGTTCCAGTGCCTGACCACCCTTTTAGTGAAGAATTTTTTCTTTATATCAAATCTAAACCTTCTCTGGTGCAACTGCTTAAAGTTGCAGCACCTTGCAGTTCTGTTGGGTCTCTGCTACATAAGGTCATTCTTACAATATTTGTCTAGCTTCAGCTGCCAAATGCTGCTTCCAATGCTCTTGAGTGCTTGTTTAGCATTTGTGCTCTGTCTTTGATGTCTTCTGTTATTAGAAAACCCAATGGAAGAGCCACCAGTATCTCCAGTGCTCTTATTTTCCACTGCTCTAAAACATCTGTTCTCTGGAGTTTGCAGGGAGTAATCCTGGATCATGGATGCCTTGGGCTTCATCCAGCCTCAGCTGTTCTGAAGGACTGAGACTATGAGAGCAAAGGAAAGGCTTGATTTTGTCAACTCTTTAAATTTTATTTTTGTCTAAGAATACAATTTAAAAATCAAGTAGAACCAAAACCCCTCTTTCTCCTAGGACTTGATGTCTCACTGAATGCACTGGGGCATAGAGACAGATAATTCATGTTACTTGTTGCCTGGTACACCAAAAATGGTGTATCACAAGTGACTATGTTGGACCATAGCTTTTAATCCCATGACAATTTGTTAAATGTGGTATTTTAAAATGTTTACAAATTTAGAACAGCAGCAAAATAAAACCTGACATTGGCTTATAGTAAAAGTAAATAAAGTATCTTCCTAACAGTATCCCATGTGGCTAGATATAATTTTTTTCCTAAATTCTTGTTATATGCTTTGTTGAAAAACTCAGTAAACTGTGCCACTTTGTTTCACTTGTTCAATGTTTGAAGAATGCTGTATAATAGGAATAAATTTGATTTAAAACCCAAAACCTGTAAAAAATAGTACAGACTAGATAACAGTCAGAACAAAGATCCTGAAAATAATTTGAATTTACAGAAGTAAATTGCAAATAAAATCTAAGGTAGTGTGGGTACATACGAGGTGGAAGTTACCATGATGGGTATACAATTGACTAGATGGCAAGACCAAAAAAGAATAATTGGGTGTACTGAAAGTAAGACACTTCTACCTGGCATAGGCCATTTGGTCAGCTTGACTGTAGTCCAGGAGAACTTTACTCCCTGCAGTAATTGACTGATTTATGCTCTTAACTGGTCTCTCATACTATCAAGCTAAGCTATATGATTCTTTACCTACATGTGGGTTGTTTTTTTCCCCTTGCATTTCAGCAGCTTTCTCTTTTCATTCCAGTGTCCTTGTAATTCAGCATAGATTTTGTGTACATCTGGTAAATTATCTTCCCTCTTCTCTAAGCATTAGGATGGGGGGGTTACTACGGAAATGCAATGTATCTCTATTTGCTTTTGTTAAACAAAAGCCAACCTCAGTATTACATTTTCCTAGCAGTGCAGGCTGGGCAGTTGGATTGGCAGGAGGTCAGACAATAATATGCCACTTTATATTCTGGTTTATAGTCATGCACAAGTAACACAGGAATGATTTTTTAATGAATGGGTAAGCAATTGACAGTTATTACAATTGAGGCCTTCTTGTATTGATACCATATTAATTATCAGCTATGCATCTTTCAAAGAAAACACCATGCTAATTGATAGCCACCTTTTGTTTGTAAGGATTAATAATATAAAATTAATTGACTGCAGTGAGTATAGAAAGAGATGATCTATGTTAATCAATTATAAATGAAACCTTAATATTTGGTAAGTGACAGTGATCTCTGGAAATAATTTCTTAAAAGGAACATATTTTTGAGTAATAATTTTTTCCTAAACATTACCTTTGGGAATTGACTGATGCTAAAGATATTGAACATTTTTACCTTCTCTTTACCGATGTTTTTTTTTTTTTTTCCCCCACTTTTTATCACTTAGCTAAATGGTAGACTTTTCCAGTGTTTTTTTGGGTGGAAAGTAGGGTTGAATTTAGGGGTGGTGGTGGAAAGAAAAATAGGATTAAATCATTATTTTAATGAAGTATTTTATTTCTAGACAGAACATTAATTTGTCTGATACATTAAGTGGCACACCTACTTTTCCCGTCCTTTTTCTTCATGGAGATCTCTACTCTAGGCTCTGGTGACCTCCCTGGCCACCCTTTCACCACTGACCTCTGAGCCACCACACACACCTAGAGGTTTAAATGTGTCCTGCCTATGGAAGATGATATTTGTCCTCTCACAGTTTTTTCTTCAAGCCTCCTTGCTTTCTGAAGTGTGGGGGAAATTCTGTAACATGTAGGCAGTAGCAGGTGAGGATTTATGAAGTGTCATTCAAAAGTAGCAGGAGGAGTTTGATGATGCTGCATAAGCCAGAAAGGAAATTTTCTGGGTTATGGAGGAATGGATTCTTTCAATTGAAGGGAGGGCACACCTCAGCACACCTCAGCAGTGAGCATTAAGGACTAGATGTTTTAATCAAATAAATAAAAAAAAAAAAGTACTTTTTTTTGACAGTTGTCACTTGTGTCTCTGTCACAATGTGTTTCTATGCCTTCTCTTCTGGGCTTGTGCTGGAAGAGTGAGTTGATAGGCATCTACCTGCTGTTGACAAGATACACATTGTGAGTAAGGGAGGGCAAGGAGAAAAACATGCCCCTTTTTGTCAATTTTTGGTGCTGTTTAAGTGCTGTTTGACTTAGAGATCCCTGTAATGATGATACACTAATATGTTAAAGAGGAATGTCCTCATATCTCCTTTAAATGGAAGGTTTATTGTACTTGATTTGTTTGCTGTAGTTGTAAGCTCTCTGGAGTAATGATCTTTCTTATGTGGTTTGTCAAGTGCTGTGTTTATTCTTGATGTCCTGCAAATTGCTGTAAAAAAATAATATAGGGAGTAATGTAGCAGCACTTACCTCTTATTCTTTTTCTATATCCAATGTAATAAAATTATACAATTATGATTGAAGAAGATATGGAAGTAATGTAGTCTAAATGCTGTTTTTTTCCAAGGAATTGAAAGGTGTTTGCCAACCTTTAAAGTAAAATACCTTTTTTTTTAATTAAGTGAAGATAGATATGTACAGATGGGTTTGAAAAATTCTGCTTTTATGTAGCTATTAACCTAATTTTGAGGATGTTTTAAAATATTTAGTTAACATATCTTTAGAGTCAGTAATGTTTCAGCATGTACTCTTTAAAAGCTCTCTCATAGGTAGTTTGCTTCAGGTATTTATGAATATAGGAACCAAAGTAAGATTGATTGCAGTTACATAAAAAAGTAAGTATCTTAAAATCTGACCCAAGTTTTGTCTTTATTTTTTAATGATGAAAATAATGAGAATTTTTCCTATTTTGAAATGTAAATTATTGGTTTTAACAGTGGTTTTGGTAATATTTAGTGGTTTTTTTAAGACTTCAAATTGCAGACTCAGTGCATTATATGATAAATTTAATCCAAAGAAAGACTGGAAATTTGTTCTGAGACACCCTGATTATTTTATCCAGTGCCATGATTTTGAGAATTGCAACCTGTGCCTTTTAAAAGAGGGACATTTTTGATACATGGGGTGCCATGTATTGAACAGAGACTGATATTGAATGTCTGCTGCTGTTCTGCAGTAACGAATCCCCTTATGAATGGCTGTGGAAAGTGTAAAGGTTATTATCTCGTGTTTGTTTACTTTGTAAAGATAAGATTTCAGAGAAAATCGAAGGGTACTGTCTGAAATTCCCAGTCACTGCAGTTCCACGGAGAGCATCGATCCTTTCCTAGAGGTTGCTGGGTACTCATTGTCTCCCTGTTCATTATAGGCTGCTGCTGAAATCTCCAATATTTCAGGTTTGTGATTCTTTTATTGTTGTTTTGGCAGTTTGTCAAAATTAAATGGCTTAACCAAATCAATATGCTGTCTTGCTTGGTAACATCTGCATTTCACATGTCAAGGTATTTTGCATTTTGAATGCAGTCACAATGGAATGAGCCACAATGACTGCAAAAAGAGCCTTTTGACCCTCCAAATCCCTCTGACTGTAAGGAAACTTTCTGGAAAATAAACTTTGCTCAGTTATACAATCACAGCTTCCACTGAGCTCAGTGGCAATTGCACACATGTGCCCGTGGGTAGGAGTGAGTCGGTAAAGAATGGATGCAACAAGGTCAGAGACAGAATATAAGCTACAATGGTAATAAATTGTACTTAATTTAGAACAACTGTTTATGTATTTGTATTTATTGGTGAGACAGTTAATTGCATAGTAAGGAATAAAAAAAAAAACCTTCCTCTGTTGTGATGGCCTCTTTTTCCATGGGGTGACTAAGCTTTTCTCACCAATTTAAGTTGTGGTGATATGTGGATACATGTTTATCATTAGCTAAAATAACACAGCTGTTAAGACAAGGTTTATTGCCATACTTTTTCTGCATGCTAAGCGCATTCTGTGTACATGTCAAACAAAATGCCAATTTAATCGGCCCCCTCAGAGTTTCCGAAGGAGTGATGATGAAAGTTTGGCAAGTTTATTTGCACCGTTCTGTACAAAATCTGCACGGCCATTATCTCCAGACACTTCCAATATGAAAAATGCCAATGGTGTTTTTACATACTTAAGAGACTAATAAGCTACAGATGTCAAAACTGTAAAGTTGAATTATCTCAAGCATGTATGAATATAGCAATACAGGTTTTTTTAAATTTGTGTGGAGTTATTTTTAAGCTATGTTTTAGTACCCAGGGCTGTTTGTACCATGTCTGAATGACCACTGATTTAGTGAAACTATTGCCATGCTATAATGAAAAATGAAAATGCCTTAATAAAAGTAGGAGTCATTAATTTGTTTTTAATTTGTTTGGAGCAAGAATGTAGAGGGAAGTAAACAAAAAAAAAAGGCTTGGTTTAGAATTGTCTCTACATCATGGCCTGACACCCCAATAATGAGCACAGCAGATTGGCACATTCAAGTTGCCTGACATATCATACAGTCATGAAAAGCTGTCTGTCTGTCACAGAATAGATGGAATCCAGTGTAAATGGTCAGGATGTTCCCCTACTTCTGTTTCAGCAGCCAGTTTACTTTTTGCTTCATTTGACTTTCTACCCTCTGCAGCCACACTGTTATAGGAGCTATAGCTTTTCACAAATTAAAACTTTATTCTTTCCAGGCAACATCTAAAGTATTTAATAATGTACTTTATAATTACTTTATAATACTTTCATTTTTACTTCACATCAGATGACAGTTTGAAGTGCTCAGGCTGAGGGAAAGGGAAATTCAGGCTAACATTTTTCACAGAATCTATTTTGGGCATCAGCTCTGGGTGCCAAGCTTCAGAGGGAGGCTTTGACTTAAAGAGAAATCCTGTGCTTGTACCTTGTGCTCACTCAGGTTTGAACTACAGGATTCAGCACCTCTGTCAGGCTTTAAGTCTTGCAGACCAAGTACCCCAATTTAGTTATTCTTTTTGATAAACTGACTTATGTGGGCTGCCAGAGGTCAAATGAACCCACCCAGAATCAGGCAAGAAAAAGACTTGTCTGAATGCCCAGTTTTGTGCTTAACTTTCAAGACTGTCTTCTTGGGCCTCTCAGAAAATCTCTTCTTTACTGATAAGTCAGGAAATCTTTTAACCAGACCTGAACTAAATGTTTATGTCCCCCTTTTTAATGCTTTCCAGACTAAGAGTAATCTTAAAAATAGTGTTTCTCATGCATGAGTTCCTTAAAATTACTGCTTTTTTTTTTTTCCCTGGTCTTGTTTATTCAACCCAAATTAGTATTTAAAAAATAAGGAGGTAAATTACAGAGTACTTAAAAAACATGGATAATTTTGAAACCATGATTACGTGTTAATGCCAATGTGTCTCTAATCAATTAACTGTTTCCATTAAAAGTGAGGAATAACTCAATCAGGGCTACTGAGTTCACAGGACAACTGATGGACTTCCATGATTCCCCCACGAAGTGGATGATATTTTCATGAAGCCAAATGCAAATGTTTCCATTACAAGGTAATGGACAGCAATGACTGATCAGCATACTTAATTTTTACATTTTTTCTTTGTTAATCCCTGGTCAGGTAATTGCTCAAGGAATGCCAGCAAAAACAGCTATGTTATTCTCAAAGGAAAGGTAACCTACTGATATTTCAAATGTCACTCCTCCAAGACTATGAAACTAGTTTCCTCTGCATACAACAATATCCATCCTGGAAATTATTGATGTCAACCTACCTAATCACAGCAGCCAAGTGATGCAAAACCTTTTCCCAATTTTATTCTCCCATCCCTGCCCTAAATGTTACTGGGATTTCTGTGCTTGTTGTAAAGATTTTCTGGGAAAATGAAGTAATACAACTTAGGCACATTTGGAAAGAGGTTAATTTGTTTTCCATTGCTAGATGCTTTTCCATTCACATGTGACTAAATTCTTTGCTCCTGACAAGTTATATCTGAAAATTATTTGGACTGGGGATGGATATTAAAACAAGCAGACCAGGAAAAAAAAAAACAAAAACAAAAACAAAAAGAAATGTACAAAACATTAATTTCAAATTACTGGATTTAGCAGAGTTGAGGTGATAGTGTCCTGGTGTCCCATTAAGACTACAGTATGAAACAAAACCTTTCTTCAAGCAGCTTCAGAAAGCTTTCACTTCCCTGTAGTCAGTTTTAGTTTTGAAATCTTTGTACTTGTTTGCTGGCAGCTTTTTTTGTGACCTGAGAACTGGGGACATTGCTAGCAAGTAAATAGCAAGATTAGAAGAAAGAAACCTGTTTCATACTTTAACTAATGGGTATGTGACTGTGTATTGTGTTGTAAGCTTAAATTCTGACAGCAGGTAACAGTCAAGTACCTGTAGTTTTTATTTATTGTAGTCTGAAAATGTGAAATGTGGGTGCTTTTAGTTACCTGGCACAGTTGTCTTTTGATGAAGAAGCCAGTTGTTTGCTCTTGCTGTTTTCTGCAGGAATAGAGAACTGATGTTTTAGCAGGGTGAAAAATAACAGGAGGGAATGGGGAAAATTATTTTAGGTATTGCTGTATGTGGTAGCAGGAGTGTTTGAGGTCAGGATTACTCAAGCAGTTGGCTGGTTAGATGGTGGCTGTGATGATTTTCTGCTCACAAACAACTTCTCTAGAAACCCTTTAATCACATCGCCCATAGGTATCCACAAGTTTTTATGCAGAAATATTCAGAGATGAATGCCTTATGACTGCCTTTAAAAGTACCTTTCACAGCCAAGAAATAACATGCTTTCAGGCTCATGGTGTGATTTTTGGGGCTGTCCTGTGCAGGAGCTGGAGTGGATGATCCTTTTAGGTTTCTTCCAACTCAGGGTGTTTTTGGATACCATGATTCTGTAGGCATATTTGCTGGTGGATATAATCATAAGCACATATTTCTATGCCACTTGTTCATTGATACAAGTGATTTTCCTTTTTAGCCAATAGTAGTTTTGTAAAGTTACAGGCAGCCAGTTCTATGTCGCCACACAACACGTTCCTCTAAGAAAGACTTAGAGAGAGGTCTTAATCTTGTCTGGAGAGGGGACAAAGATCTCTTCTGCAGAGCATCGTGATTCATCTTGCTCTGCTCAGTGAGGCCAGCCAGATACTAGGAAGATGCTGAGCTGCTGAAAATTCTCCACATAAGCTTGTTTTCAGCTCCAAAAATGACTTCTCTGCTCCTTGATTAGGATATTGTTGTTCTTAGTCATCAGAGCCTAGGATCTCACCACGCACCTCTGCCATGTGTGTAAGAACACAACTTTGTGCTGGGGAAAATCTAGATGAAACATAAGTTTTGTTTAAGCGTTGGGAAGCCATTAGTCATTCTTACCACTGCTGACTGCAAAGTATCATAAAATAGTATCCATTTCTTTTGAAAGCTCTCTGCCTTGCTTATACATTTGTTGACTTAGAGTGAAAAGCAGCTGTTGAGGACTTCAATGATTTTTGTCCTCTGGCAGCCTGGTGTCAGTTCAAGGAGGAGACAATCTTTTCAGCAGGTGAAAGAGGCTGCTAAAAGCTTATAGAGATTCTATGCTAGGCAATTTCTTCCAGGGCACTGGAGTTTTCCATCTTGCATATCAGCTGAAGAAAGCTGAAGAATAAGTGGATGGAGATGACCTATCAGAAAGATAAAGTTAAAAAACATAAAAAGGTTTCTAGGAGGTCCATGGGATCTTTCTGTGGGTCAGTGTACAATGACTGCGTAAGCCCCAGGATTTTCATTTCAACCAGGCAGCATCTAATAGCACATTGCAACATCTCCTGGCCCTGGGCAATGGGGCAAGCATTACAGCCCCAACTGCGATGTTTTGTGTTGTGCATTGTGTAACTAGTCGAGAGGTACATCAACACTTAGTGATAGGTGCAGTGTGCCAGTAGATGGTCTCTGTTTCTTCAGGAGATACAACTCTGCCGGTTTCCTCGGGCAGACCAGAGATAGAGTCATTGACATAATGTCTTAAGTTAGATCCTAGATCCCCAAAAGAGTTGTTTTCATGACACGAACTTCATCTGAAGGCAATGTCTTTGCAGAATTGATGGGAACAAGGGCCATTATGCTTCTTCATGTGTCCTCTCATGCAGCTTGAAGCACCTGATGTGATTTAGAGAAACTCAAATATAAGGAAATCATTATTGGGCATTTGAAGACGTTGAACCAAGATTTTGTGGTAAAGATGTGTCAGGTGGCTCAATCCTCATTAGTTTCTAATAAGTGCAGTTGTTACTGAGCACAGGACACGCTGTGGCTCAGAGCTTGGTGCTGGTCTTTCATGGCCTACCAGGAAGGGAGGATATGGGATCATAGTGCCTGGTAGGAGTTTAATGGAA